AACAGTCTTTTATCTTCTCTGGCCTCCAACAGCCTTATCTTTAAATAGTAATTTAAATAATACCTCTTTTGCTTAAAATTTGAAACTGTCAGGTCCTTATGAGTAGGATCTATGCCTTATTTGTCTTTATCCCCAGAGCCTAGCAGAATTCCCACATGCCTAAAGTATAATAGATTGACAAGTCACTTGCTGAATGATTGAAAGTTAGGGTGAAGCAGGTGTTTTGTGAAGCAGGTAACTGGGCCAGATAATTGTGTAAACTCTTATATATTGGAAAAACTTTAGTCATTCAGCTGAATTACCACTATATAGAAGTCTTTCTAGGTTTAAGAACATGGGGTCTTTTGATTCCAAATGACTGAAGACCCCACACAAATTGGTTTAAGCTCAAAAGGAAATTTATTGGCACATTGATGTGTCTTGTTTCAGGGATTCAAACTTTGTCAAGGACCTAGGATTCTCTATTTCTCCACTTACCTTCTGCTTGATTGGTTCTCTCATCACGCAGTCTTCACCCATTGGTGACATAATGGATATCTTTGGATTCAGGCTCATATCCTCACAGCTGAAAAATCTGTGGAAAATAGGGAGTGTTCCTACCTTTCAAAAGTTCCAGGAAATGTGTCAAGATTATGTATCCTTGACTTTATTTGGATCAACTGTTCATCCTTGATCTAAACAGCATAGCCATGAATGAAATCAATGCCATCTAAACTGCACTTACTGAGAATGAGGGAGGACTGGCTCTCCAGACACAAACCTCCATATGCAGAGGAAGGTGGCAAAGACATGAATTACCAAAAACTGCTATGGCCCTCTCTCAAGAATAATATGCTTTAATACAGTAATACAAATTGAGCATCCAATATTAGGATGTTTGTGAATTCCCTAAAGACTGTCCAGGGACCTTAACTTAGGAAGAGAAGATAACCAAACTTAGTCTCAGTCTCTCTTTCCAGTGTGTGACCCCTCCCAGGTACTAAATTAACATTTGCACTTCTAAAATAAAAGAATATGTGCACTAGGAAAATCTTTGTTTTAGAATAGCTTTAGATTTACAGAAAAATCATGAAGATAGAATAGAGAGTTCCCATACACCCTACACCGAGTTTCCCCTATTGTTAACATCTTACATTGTGGAAATGGTATATTTGTAACAATTAATAAACCAATATTAATACATTATTATTAACCAAAGTCCAAAATTTCCTTTGTTTTCACCTACTAGCCTTTTTCCCTTCCAGGAGCCTATCTAGGATACCACATTACATTTGGTTGTCACATCTCCTTAGGTTCCTCTGAGCTGTTCACATTTTTTTAGACTTTCCTTGTTTTATATGATCGTGATGCTTTTGAGAAGTATTTGTCAAATATTTTGTAGAATGTGCCTCATTTTTGTTGTGTTTGATGTTTTTCTCATGATTATACTAGGATTATATTTCTTGGGAGGAAGACTTTACCACAGAGGTAAAGTGCCATTTACACCACATATCAAGGGTGCAAACCATCAACGTGACTTATCTCTTGATGCTGACCTTGATCACATGCCCAAGGTAGCGTTTGCCAGATCTCTCCACTCTAAATGTAGTCTTTGTTCTCTCTGTCTTTGCTGGATGTTTTGGAAGAAAGTCACTGTGTCCAGCCCACGTTTAAGGAGTGGGAGTTATGCTCCACCTTCCCTTTAAGGGTAAGTCTCTACATAAATTATTTGGAATTCTTTTGGACAGAAGATTAGTCTCTTCTCCCTCACTTATTTATTGATTCAATCACTATATCAGTATAGACATCTATTTTATACTTTGGGTTATAATCCAGTACTAGTTTATTTTGTTGCTCAGGTTGTTCCAGCTTTGGTCATTGAGAGCTCTTTTAGTTGTTTCCGGTGTCCCATTAACAATTGCACCATTGTGGGTTCTATCTTTCTCTCTCTCTCTCTTTATCTATCTATCTATCTATCTATCTATCTATCTATCTATCTATCTATCATCTATCTATCATCTATCATCTATCTATCATCTATCTATCTATCATCTATCTATCATCTATTTATCATCTAACAACTATCATCTATCTATTATCTATTATCATCAATCTATCTATTTATTCAGCACTTTCATACTTTCTAGTATAAGATGCTCCAGATTCATTTGAAGTATTTGTTGCCCTAGTCCTAGAATCAGCCATTTCCCCAAAGAGCCCTGGTTCCTTCTATTGGAGAGTGGTATTTAGAAACTAATATCTGGGTGGTAGGAGTGCTCAATATGTACATTTTTAAAAGTAAAATTATTCTAAAAGGCATAACTGAAAAAAGTCAATTCCTTTCCTATTCTTTCCCATAAAATGTAAACTCTTCTGAGTTGTTTTTTCTGTTTTTTTTTTCCTTCCATATTACAAATAATGTGCTTATACTGTTATTGTGTGATTGATCACTCTCGTCACCATCTATTGACCTCCTCTAAGGGTGAGTAGGGTTTGGTTTTCTTGCACCCCTCCTCCGCTTCCTCTCTGCCCATCTTCCCAATGTATTCATATCACAGTTTTGTGTTAAACTAGTAGCTAGAGTTTACATTATCATGACCATATAACTATCTTTCACATTGAGCAAATGTATTATAATTACATATTCTTTCTTTTATAATACTTTATCTTTCATCATTGTAATAATTGTCTCGTCTTCCTTTTCTTAATTTTCCAAGCGTTTATCAAAATTCATCCCAAATGATTCAACTATTTTCTGTCAAAGACCTACTGAATCTATTTTTAAAATGCCCAAATGCATGAGACTATCTACCAGTTACATTTATCACCGCCACCCCAAAACTTATCCCTCTGCCCTTCTGCTCCAACCTGGTTTGCTTGTTGTGGTAACTAGTCTGCAAAGATGCTTCCCCTTCACCTCCAATGAACTTCCTGGTATTCACACCCTTGTATTGTTCCCTCTACTTGAATCTGGGATGGCCTTATAACTTACTTTTTGACCAACAGAATGCAGTAGAAATGATACTGAATCACATGTAGGTTTAGGTCATAACCTTTGCAGGTTCTTCCTGAGCCTGTTGGAACAATCATTTTTGAGAAAGCCAAATACTATGTAAGAAATTCATTTACTTTGAGACAGCCATACTGTAAGGAAGCCCAAGATGCCTTGAGGAAAGGCCATGTGGAGAGAAAGGGTTGCCTGTCCAGCTCCTAGGCCTTCTAGTCATCCTATCAATTTGCTATACTTGTGAGTGGAAAAAGTCATCTTGGATGTTGTCATCTTTTTCATCCTGAAGACTTTCCCCACATGTCTCAGATCCTTGGTTTTTCTATTTGTATTTAAAGTGACACACTAAAAACTAATTAGGAGTGCTGCATACAAGACTGAGGCTCATGCACTGGTAACTTTATTGAAGGACAATTGTGTTGATATTGTTGGGGGCTACCTAAATATCAATATCTGTAAGTGTTTTATTAGGGCCATTCAGTTTACCCAGAGATTAAACCCCCCAGTTCCCTAGGAAGAGGATTCCACAATTCAATGGGTATTCAATGGGATGGTTTTCTCTAAGTCCCTCTATTTTCATCCCTTCCCCTTGTTTTTCTGGCTTCTCTGAGTCCAGAGTCTTATCCGATATTTGTATTTTCACCAATACTTTTACCGTGAGCAATGTTGAATGTCTGAGGCTCATTTAGTGGGTTACAATCAAATGAGGATTTTTTTTTTTTAAATCTAGAGCATTTGTGAATCCTTAAATTCCTTCTCTGGGGCTGGGTGGGATCTGGCCGGTCACTGGTATGGGTGGTCTCATGGCTGTATTATCCTAAGGATCACAGGTCAAAGGAGGGTGTAGTGATTAGGGACATGGACTTTGGGATCAGGGAGACTTGGGCTTGAGTCCTGTTTTCACACCTTCTTAGCTGTCAATGTCATTTATGTAGCTCCCTTAAGCCTCAGTTTCCTCATGTGTTAAATGGGAAAAAATATTATCTATTTCTTATGGTTGTGAGAATTAAATAATACATCTGTATCATGTAGCAGAGTGCCTGGTATATAACTAAGGATTCAATAACCAATGATGATGATCTAAGTCTAATTAATTAATTAATTAATTTCTAAGTAGGCTCCAGGCCCGTCATGGAGCCCAGCATGGGGCTTGAACTCACAACCCTGAGATCAAGACCTGAACTGAGAGCAAGAGTTGGTCGCCTTAACCAACTGAGTCACCCAGGTGCCCCTAAGTCTATTTTAGAAAACACATCTGGTTGATTTGTTTCCTTCTCTAACTGGTTCTGTGGTCTTGGATAGATCATTGTATCTGTAGAGTCAAGCCTTGTAATCTGGTTCGTGAATTATCTTTTATGCTCTTCTCTATCAAGTGGCTTCACTTAAAAAGTGGTAGAATTGGGTCCTGACCTTGGGTTTCTTTAATACCTGAGCCCATCCCGTAATGGCCACAGTATGCTTCTTCTATTGAATTCTTCTTTCCTTGTCTAGTAAACTCTAATGGTGATTTTGGCTTACGTGATGGTTGATTGCAGTCCTGCTTTTCTTTTTCCATGGGGTAAAGGAACCAAAGATCTGGGTGATGGAGAACCAGGAGCAGAGGCAAATTCTAGGCTAACTTTCCTTTGGCCCCTATGAGGATTCTATGTGTAAACAGCTGCCAGTGAGGAGAGTTCATTGCATTTTATTCTGAGCTGCACAGTAGCCAGGAGGACTGTGTAGCTCAAGCACAGCTCCCACATGCACATACACACAAGCACATGCATGGATGCTAACACACAGGTAGAAATTCCTTGATATGCATGGACAAAGGAATACAGGTGCAACCTCACTATCCATGTACACATTTGTACATATGCTGGTGGCCAGGAGAAAAGTGCTCAGCACATTTTATCATACTCCCAGATTAAGGGAGACCATTCAGGAGGGGGGAAAGGGAAGATTATGAGGCAGAAAGAGAAATGAAACTAAAAGGTCCTGCCCTGTCAGCATTCGCTGGAGTATAAGAAATGGGCTTTGGACGGACAGACAGACTCCTGGGGCCTGCCAACCATCAAAATGTCCAAAGGGCCTCTTATTCTCTGGCTGCTGATTGAGCTTGGGCGGCTTTCTCTGAGTAAGTGTTCTGAATCCTTCCATGCAGGAGTCCCTGGATAGCTTGGCATCCTGTGATGGATTCTCATGGCTGATCCAGCCTCGGTAGAGCAGAAGCCTGCTTCATTCCTCCTTCCCTCCAGGCTTCCTTCTTTGTAGGGTCTCTCCCCTTCCTTGTTACACAGGATTTTATCCTGTGACTGGTTTTGGAGTTTTAGGATGGGATAATTTGTGTTCATATCAGAAATGACCATTTAAGAAGAAACACAAAATAAGGGGTCAGATGAAATGGGGAAAAGGAATTTCATCTGCAGGTGTTATTAGCACAGTTGGAGCCTGGGGAATTTGTTCTACAAGTGCTCTTATAATTCTTATTTTTCCTCTTGATTTTCAGGAGTTATAGTTTGCTTTTTGTTTGTTTTATTTTGCTGGGGATGAGGCTTCAAGGTGAGGTTTCTTTTCTGCACATTGTTTCCAGGTTTTGGACGATGCAGATGTACACACTCAATTTGGGCCAGCTTAGACTTCTACATCCTGGCAGCATAGGGCAAAATGCTCTACACTGAGCTGCAGTTGTGTCTCAGTCACTAACCATTAACATTAGGAACCTGTTGAAATTGCTCTGGCTCTTCTATGTATGAAATGAGGGACTTTGGCAAGACCAGTTTGAACAATCCATGATTCTAGAACTAGATAGTATCTAATGTCCCTAGCACTTTTAAAAGTTTATAGTTATTTGCACATGATCTTTCCAATATGCTGCATGAGAAAACACCCACATTCCAAGGAAAACAAATGTGTTCTCTCTTACCTTCAAAACTTTGTCATGCTGACCTTTTTCTGCCTTTCTTTCCTCTGAAACTATATGCATTCTCAGGTCTCCACCCAAGTGAGGCTTTTCCTGAGCACCCAGAGCCTCTGGAGTGGTTTAGGTGTTTCTGCTCTGAGTTCCTATCTCCTATGGAGTCATTCATCAGAGAACTTATCTCCCTGTAGTAACTGATCATTTAACTGCCTCTCTCCCCAGACTCTGTAGGAGTTCACAGAATGAAGGTGTCCCTGTCACTTTCTTTATCTGTGTCTTCACTGGTCTTTATCTTGTCCTGAGTACGTTGAGGTATGGAGGTTTTATTATGCTGAAGGTTGCTGGAGTCTAGGTCCACATTCCCTGCCACTGGCTGGACACTGATTGTGTGGCCTTCTCTAATCCTACTTGAAGGAAGCTGCACCTGGAGAATGGTCTGTTGGTGCTGTTCATTTGTGCCTTTTCTAAAATGACCAATTCAGAAGAGAGTGACTGCTCAGAATTACCAAAGATCAATCAGGGCTGGAGACGCTCTTAAAAGATGTGGAATGAGGGGCGCCTGGGTGGCTCAGTCAGTTAAGCATCTGCCTTCGGCCCAGGGTCATGGGATCTAGCCCTGTGTCAGGAGGAGCCTGCTTGTCCCTCTCCCTCTGCCCCTCCTCCCCCTGCTTGTGTGTGTGCTCTCTCTCTCTTTCAAATAAATAATAAATAAAATCTTTAAAAAAAAAAGATGTGGGATGAAACCCTTTATTCTGTAAATGGTGAAACTGAAACCCAGGTTGGTAAAGGACCTTTCTTGAGGTCACCAGCTGGAGAAGGAAACCAGCGGGCACCAGGAACTTCATTGCACCTACCATCCTGGGTAATTTCCAAAGAGGGGAATTGACCTGATGCCAATGATTCTTGTACTCCAAGATATTTTTATAACAGCAAGGAACAGTTTCTCATCCTATTTCTAAATTCTGAAATACTTGGTTACTTGTACCTGTACTTTATTAATTTCATGTGGTATTTGATACTTCATTTCATGTGAACCTCAGAACTATTCCTGAAGCACGTATTATATATCTCCTTTGTCTTTTGATGATAATGAGGTCAGGATTATTGTGGCTTTCCTCCAAGAACACAAAAGCAGTAACTGGCAGAATGAGGTTTACAACATAAGCCTAATGAGTGTTTTTCTGCTGCACCAAATTGCCTGCTTCCTTTTTTTAATATTAATTTTTAATTAGATCAGTGATACAGAAACACCCTTGGTGAAAAAATAATAGCCATTATAAAGCTAAAATCCCTTTGACTACTACTTCCAGCCCCAGTTCCTTTTCTCTGATCGTGGAGGTGACTGGTACAATGAGTTAGGTGTATATCCCACCAGACACTTTTCTATGCATTTACCTTCATTCGTCTGTGCCCACAAAAAAAAAAAAAAAAAACATGCAAACTGTTTTATTTATGTTAACAGATGCTTTTATATTTTATGTATTGTTATGAATTTGCCCTTTTCATACATTAATAGGGCTTGGAGTTTTCATGTCAACTGATATAGATCACTCGACTTTTACTAACCTTGGAATGGTTACAGGGAATGAATGATTCATTCATGATTCCTTGGAATGTGTATGCCATAGTTTTGCCATTCCCCGTGCACACATTGTTCATTTCATTCACATATACATGAAAGCTGCAGCAAACATTTACAAATAGGTTTCCTTTGCATGTGTGTTTTTCTAGGGTGCATAACAAAACACGAAATTGCTGACTTAGCTTGGATACACGCATGTTCAGTATTAATGGAAACTGCCAGATTGCCCCACAGTGTGGCTTACCAATTAACCTCCTATTGTATTCCAATATACTCCAGTAGTCTATGTCATTTCCTAAGTCCCTGTCTGGCCAACCTTAATATCATTGGCATTCTAAAATTTTGCCTGTCTTCCAGGTGAAATTTGCCGGCTGCTCACATTTCCTCATCTATGTCTGTTTTGTCTGCTGTCAATTTTTCTATCTGGTCTTTTCTTTTCTTTCTTTCTCTCTCTTTTTTTTAAAGATTTTATTTATTTATTTGACAGAGACACAGTGAGAAAGGGAACATAAGCAGGGGGAGTGGGAGAGGGAGAAGTAGGCTTCCTGCCCATTAGGGAGCCTGATGAGGGGCTCGATCCCAGGACCCTGGGATTATGATCTGAGCCGAAGGCAGATGCTTAACGACTGAGCCAGCCGGGCACCCCTATCTGGTCTTTTCCTCCTGAGTAGTAGGATGCCTCCTTCTATACTATGATACTGGAAAAATAAACTGTCCAATTTCCAGCAGAAATAATTCCTACACATATTTGTTATTAATTTTCCAAATATAGGACAAGCTCATATTGTGGGAGTTACTAATTTTAGGAGCATATGTTCTGTGTTGCTAATATAGGTAAATGTGATGACAATGAATTTCTTATTTATTTATTTTTCCTTGTTTCATGGTGAGCAAAAGAGACTTCCAGAGCATTTACGATCATTGAAACAGTTCTACTACAACAAAATGAAGAAACTGTGATTTCAGGGAAGGCTCCAGGCTGGTCTGAATTTGGTGACTCTTAGGGTTTGTGCTCACCTTCTTCTAGAGAGGGATATGTGGACATTCCTGACACTTGAGTCAGAGAGGAGGAACCTGGTATTGCTGGCCAAGTCTTATACAACTGAGCCAAATGGGTCCACAAAATTAGTGAATGGAGAGTCTCATAGGAAGTTACATTGGAGAAAACAATAAGCAGGATCTATGTACCCTAGTGGGAGCAGGATGGAGTCCTGATGATCTGGAGCTTCAGCCTGTCTTCAATAGCTTTTTTGGGGGCTGGGGAATTAGAACTATTGCTGATATTCTGTTAAACCAGTGGGCTTGATATTTGCAGCAGTGAAAATGTTTCAGATTCTCAGAGATGGAAGTTATCTTAGAAGAGCTTGTCTAGTGGTCCTCAAACACTGTGAGTAGCAAGCGACATCAGAATGACTTGGAGAATTTGGTTATGCATATTTCTTCCATGAGTCTTGGCCTCAGAGATTCTGGTTCAGGGTTGGACAATAAAATTTCCATTTTTAACAAGCTCCCCAGGTCATGCTGATGAGCAGCCAAAGCTGGCAAAGATGACTACTTCATTTTAGAAATAGTGATACCTCCCATCTCACACAGCTAATTTGGTAAGACTAAACTTCCAGCATTTCTGTATGTCACAGCTGCCATTCTATCTAATTCCTGTGGTCCCTTCCAGTTCTAACATTAAAAATGTTTTCATACTCCACCTAACTTCATATTCTCTAACAACAAATAAATGGTCCAGAGCAATTAATTTCTGTATCCAGTACTGAAAGAAGAGAAGGAACATAGAATGTAGTTCAAAAGCCTATGTTACTGCCATAGCATTCTCTGGGTTGGAGGGCAGAGGGAGTCCCATTTGAGGCATTTGGGTCTGTAGTATGTGCTCACTGCTTATTGAGATACAGTGGGTAGAGTGCTGGTTTTGGATCTGCTCATATGAGTTAGTGGAATTGGATTAAAGAGTTGGGCTTTTCACTGGAGAATTTTTTTGTTTATTGAATGGTACTCAAGATCAATTTTTTTGTTTATTGAATGGTATTTTTATTTATTTTATTTTTTAAAAAGATTTTATTTATTTATATGATAGAGAACGAGAGAGAGAGCACAAGCAGGGAGGAGGGGCAGAGGGAGAGGGAGAAGCTGAGCAGAGAGCCTGATGCGGGCTGGGATCATGACCTGACCGAAGGCAGATGCTTAACCAACTGAGCCACTCAGGTGCCCCAAGATCAGAGTTTTTAAATCAGCCAAAACGTCTTGTTGTGGAGACGAGTTCAGACACTCAGACACTCATGCGGGTCAACTGTTTCCAGTTAGGGGACAAAAGGGTGTGGAGTTAGGGACTCAGCAGCAGCTAAGGGCACATCAGAATTAGGCTAAAAAGATATACACTATAACTCTTTTCATCATCCTGGAAGCATTGTTCTACACAAACACTGTGTAGCATATTTGAGAGATTTTAGAACCACACAGTCTATTTTTCTCATCTTTCCTCACAGCTTCACCTGCACCAGAGACTGTGAGAGCGTATTTGGGTCAGACGGTGACTTTGCCCTGTAAGTACTCATCCTGGTCTCGCAGCAGGAACAGCATGTGCTGGGGCAAGGGTGAGTGTCCTAAATCCAAATGCAGCGAGGAGCTTCTCCACACCGATGGGATAAAGGTATTGTCCAGGAAGTCACCAAAATATGATCTTCAGGGCAGTATTTGGAGAGGCAATGTCTCCTTGACCATCTTCAACACTAATGAAGGTGACAGCAGTATGTACTGCTGCCGCATAGAGGTCCCTGGCTGGTTCAATGATGTGAAGAAGAACATTCGCCTGCAGTTGAGGAGAGGTGCGTGCACGAAGGGGTTTGTGTCTGTGGAAGGAGGGATCTAACAGTTAATGGGGAATGGATTCAGTGGGTGGTTTTGGGGAGGCTGTAGGTGCTTAAGCATGAGTGGGCAGATTAAATCTAAGCTGGGTCTCTATGGCTAGAGGAGCCACAGGATGGAGCAAATGCCCATGGGGGCCAAAGAAAACCTGAGAAATGAGTGAGTGGAGGGTATATGGAGAAAACAAGCAGAGAATTGCAGGGTCAATGTGCAGAGGGCATCTGATTCTTATCTAGGAGATTGCCACTTTGCAGAAATTTATGTGCAGTGCTTTCGGATCTCCCAATTTTTATGGGCATGACATTGATTTTTGCATGTTGGCAAAGATTAAAAAAAGAACTACCATGTAAACAAAATAAAATGTGTCCATGGGTCAGCTTCAGTCCATCAGCCAATAGTTTGTGACTTCCAGCAGAGGAGAAAGGGTGTGAGATTTGGAGACAGTCATAACAGTTTTTAGGTGGCCTTTCCTTCTGTTATTATTAGTTGCTTTTGATGAAATTGGAATAGGGTGCAACTCTTAAAGATTTGAGCTGCATGGAAGGCAGCCTATGGTTGAATTATGCTGACAGTAATCAGCTTTCCTGCTTGTTTGGAATGGAGCCTCTCAGAGTAAGCTCTGTGTTCAACCTGCATCAAAGATGGAAGATTCTTGTGCTTTGTTCCTCACTGGGTAGGCATCTTGGGAGGCAAGGTCATATGCTTATAGCCACATACTTAACAAGATTCTCAGGTGACTCCAATGCACTCTAAAGTTTGAGAATAATTTATATGGATCTTCTCATTAGAGAACTTTCATACACATTAGTGTATTTTTCTCGAAAAGTGGCTTTGTGATAGAGAAGTATTTTTCTGATTTATTGAAGTTTTATTGAAGTTAAATGATGCAATCCAAGCCTTCTCTTTTCAAGCCTGGTATAACCAGCTATTATTTTATAAAATACTTGTTGAACTCAATATCTATGGGTCATTTCTAAGCTCACTGGAATCTGTTAGAGTTAATTGAAATTCATCATATTTAAGAGAGGGTAGCACATATAGAATAACAGTGGCTGATGAACCCAAATTCAAATGTTAGGGGTGAGTGGTGTTGGCATAATCTTATCTTTAATATCTGAAAGAGACTATATTCTCACCCCATGTTGCATACTTCGGGCGCACTTTTTTTAGATTTTAATTTTATTTTATTGTGGAAAGAACGTCTAAGATGAGTTCTAAGTCAGCAAATTTTCAAGTGTATAATATATTATTGTTAACTACAGGTACGATGTACAGCAGAGCTCTAGAGCTTCATCTTGCTTGACTGAAATATTATGTTTGGGCTCACTTTTGATGCAATTGTTCATTTGCTCATTGATGCAATGTTTTTGGAAACCTACTATGTGCCCAACACTGGGGTAGGTATTAGATTTGTAGCAGAGAACAAAGTAAATACCAGATTTCCCCTCATGGAGCTCACAGTTTCGTGGGGGAAACAGGTGTTAAACCATAATCATCAGATAAAATGTGCAGTTACAAAATGCAATAGATGCTGTGAAGGTAAAGTATGAAAACCAAGGTAAAGTGCAAAACCAAGAAACCTAATTGCGATTGCCGAATATGGGTGTCCTTTTAGCTGCAACAAGAGGGCTCAGTAGGAGTCAGCCTAATGAAGGGAGAGGCTAGGAAGCAACAGGTATGAAGTCCCTCCAGTGTGAGGTCACTGTTCAGAGAGATGAAGAAAGGTCAGAGGGCTGGGGAAAAGCAAGAAGAGTAGAGTGGAGACATGAGATGGTAAAGAAAGAGCCAGATCAGATAGAGTTTTGTGGGCCAAGGTTGGGGATTGGGTCCTTTATCTCAAGGGCATGGAGGACCCAGTAAAAAGTTTTAAGCAGGGGACTGACATAATTATTTGTCATTTAAAAAGATTAACCAATGGGTTAACCAAAAAGATTAACCAAGATTAACCAAATCTTGGTTAAAAGATTAACCAAGATTTAACCAATGTGTGAAGAACAGATCAGAAAGGCCAAGAGTAGAGGTAAGAAACCCAACTTCCATGGGCATTACAGTGGTCCAGGTCAGTGGACCAGGTGAGGGCAGCAGAAATGGAGAGAAATGGACAGATCCCACATATACTTGTATGCTTTCCCTTTTCCTCCATCTCTGCTTGGTACCAGACGTATCTTCCATTGGTTACAGCCCCAGCAACCAGGCACTCAACAACGCGTCTCCCAACCACCACCACTGCTCTGACGACAGCCACAGCTGTGCTTCCAACAACAGCTATGACTATACCTGAGCTCACAACCAGAACACGACTTCAGACAAGAACCACCACTGCCCTCACAACAGTGACAATGACATACCCTCCAGCAACATCAACCTTTCTTTTTGAAGCCACCACAGTGCTTCCAACCACTGAGCTTTCCACAGAAGGGCCCACCCTCACTGCAGGTACGTGGTACATTTGACCATTCTTTCCCTTCTGCCAGTCAGATGTATCTTGGGTCCCTTGAAACAGGGTTCTTTTTACTGAATGGGGCAGTCCAGAGACTTGCTCTTGGGTCTCAGTGTGTGTGTGTGTGTGTGTACTGGTTTGCTAGGACTGTCATAACAAATGCCACAGACTGGGGGACTTAAACAACAGAAATCTATTTTCTCACAGTTCTGGATGCTAGAAGTCTGAGATAAAGGTGTCAGTAGGGTTGATTTCTTCTGGGGACTGTTTCCTTGGCTTAAGATGATCACCTTCTCCCTGTGTTTTCACATGGTCTTCCCTCTGTGAATGTGTGTGACCTAAACTTATCTTCTTATAAGGACACCACTCATATCGAATTAGGGCCCATCCATATAACCTCATTTTACCTTAATTACCTCTTTCTCCAAATATGGCCACATTCTCAGGTATTGGGGGTTAGGATTTCAACATATGAATTTTGGGGAATATAATTCAGTTTATAACTGTGTGTGTGCATGTGTTTGTGTGTGGGGGTGTCAGTGAGGATGTGGTTTCACTAACCTGTTCCTTTTCTCTGTTTTATCCTTTCTTTTTCCCCCTATTTTCTTTTTGGAAGTCAGGTTTTTTTTGTTTTTTTGTTTTTTTGGTTCTCCAGTTGACCTTCCAGGAATCTTAGAGATATTTATTGAAGAACCAGGAAATGTCACCCGGGGTCAGAATCCAGTTTCAGTCTGCCAGGGGTTGAGTCTCTGCCAGGGCATTGAGGAAAGGCCTCTAGATGTCTTAAAATATTCCTTGATGATGAACTAGTTCTACCCTTATTTCTTCTTCCTTTTTTTCTTCCCTCCCTCCCTCCCTTCCATTCTGTTCCTTCCCTCCCCCCCAATCCTTTTTGATCCTGCATCTTGTAACCTCACTGAGTTACTAGCTCCATTACTTAACGGGGCTTACCAAAGCTCCCACCATGTTTCAACCTCTGATTCTGTTGTAAGAATATTGGAAAATCATTAAGAGATAGCGTGAAGCCTTTCTTAGGTGTCTCAGCTGCCTCAGTAAGGCCTCGATAGTTTAAATAGCCTGACAATATTGAATTGGCTAATTCTGTTATATTCTGAGTAGTCACCTAAAGTCCATGAATCATAACCCAGTCAATTTTTGTATGTATTTTTTATTCTTTTGGCCTTTAAAATAATCATCCTAAAATATAACATTTGTAGTTTATTCCCCTTGATCCTAAAATTACTTGTAATCCTTGAAGAAAACCTGAAATATATAAAAAAGCACAAAGACAACTATAAAAATAGCCCTGAATCCCACCACTCAGCACAAACACTTATTTTTTGCTCCCTTTTATTGAATTTTTTTCTCTTCCAGAGTCAGAAACTTTCTTTCTCTCCAGTGATCCTGAGAGAAGCACTGAGGTGACTTCTGGAAACACTACCTTACTTATATCCAAAGGTATGTGGACACTTGCTTTCTTTTTCTTTTCCTCATTTCCTACATTGAGGACAGTAAAGTGTTGTTGAATTAGATGATTAGAGATGACTTTTGGGTTCTGTGTGCCATGAGCCCCACCTAGGACAAATTGGACAGCATTTGTGGCTCCTTCATTCTTGTGGCTTTGAGAGAGAAAGGGAGGTAGGCAGAGAGAAATTGGGACTGACCTTGATTTGTTTGAGCAATTCTTCATGGTAGCACATCTCTGGAATATTTGCCTTTCCATTCTAGGTGAGCTAGTGCTTAGCTGTCTCGGCCTAATTCCAAGCACAATGATCTTTGTAGATCCCCTTGAGGGATGTTCTCACTTGACTCACTAGCTTTCTGTAGTAGAGGGAGAATTCTTTCACTCATGTGACCTTTCATCTATCCCTCAAGCCTTCTTTACGTATTTACTAGAGCCAAAGGGCAGAGAATACCCTAAAAATAAGGCATGATTCTCATCCATGGGGGTGCTAGAGAGAACTGCCCAGCCTTGGCTCCCTGTTCTACTCCTTTTTGCCAGGGGTCTCTGGCCTTGGTTTATTCCCAGGTGAGTGGGAGGGTTGTATAACTTCATGCATATGATGGCTGAAGGTGGGTGCCTGGCATGTTACTAAGTGCTCAAGTGGTAGATATTACTTAATGGGGCTTATAATCAAGTAGAAGAAAGTGGATATCTATGGAGTAAAAAAAAATCAATCAGTTCTTGTGTTAGTACAACATAGGGAGCTAGTATGGGTGGGGGGGGTCATGTATGTGCTCTGGCATCACACTGCCTGGGTGTAAGTCCTGCTTCTTATCTGTTGTGTGACTCTGGGAAAGTTATTTTCTCTCTCCGGGCCTTGGCTTCCACACTGGTAAAATGGGACTAATAATAACACCTATCCTGTGTCTCTTTCTGAGGATAAAATGAGAGGATGCGTGTAGATCACTTAGAACACTGTCCAGCATGTACTAAATGCTCAGTAAACATTAATTAGCTCTTCTTTTCTTTTTTATGACACAAGTTAGTTTAGGGGGACAGTGAGGCACCAAAAATAAAAATGACAGGTGTTTACTGAAGTTTGTTTTCTCTTTTCCTTTTTTTTTTTTCCCCAGAGTCCAAAGGTTGGTTTCTCCAGTCAACATCCCAGGAGTCAACATGGGAAATGAGTGACTCAGTGACTTTTCCTCAGACAAGAGGTAAGGGGCTGTGCTCCTGAGGGTGGTTTTGTCTGACCGTGGGAATGATCTGATCTGTCATGTTCCTGCCTGTCTTGGGATTCGGCTATTTTGGTTCCATTGTGGTCACATCCTCCATTTTCCCACAAGCTAGGATGAAAGTGAAACCTGCAAACAGCATCCAAGCTGGCTTCTTCCCTCCTCTGCCTCATTTCTGAAACCCCTCTGTTGGGATTCCCCTTCTTCCTTAGCGGCTTCTGTCTTGAAGTTAGAAATGCCAGAAAATCACTCATTCATTAAAAAAAATATATTAGTAATTTATGGTAGATTGCACAAATACTGCACTAATGTATTTTTGTTAAGGATACATAAAAAGAGTAGAAAAACATGCTCTTTGACTCCCTGTCTTGAATCCCAGCCCTTCCTCTGAGATAATCACTGTTATTAGTTGAAGATGAGCATTCTTCAGATCTTTTTTCTATTGCTTATGTGTGTGTATAGATACAGAAAAATGCAGTTTTGTTTTGTGTGTTGATTTTTAAAAAAAAATTCTGTCCTAGTGTACGCAGCCTTCTGCACTTTGTTGTGTTCACCTAACATTACATATTGGACCACTTTCTTCTCCAGTCCATGTCGATCTGCATCATTATGTTAAATTGCTGTATAGTATTTTATACTATGGATACTTATAGTATCCGTCACCCACTAAGGGACACTGAGGTTGTTCTAATATCTCATTACCATAAGTAGTTTGCAGGGGACATCCTTGTATGTGAGTGTCTCCTTAAGTGTCTGTGCTGGTGTTTCTCTCACTAGGGGGGTGACCAAGAAGCAAAAATGCTCTGCTGAAAGAAAATGTGCACTTTTAAATTTAATAGCCATCACAAAATTGTCTTCCAGAAAGGGTTTGCCAATTTATTTTCCCATCCACAGGGTGTCCGCTTTGCTACATCCTCCCTACACTTGATATGACCATTTGTTTAATCTTTTTTGATCTCCCCAGGAAAAAAAAAGTCATCTTATGCTTTTGTTGTTCTGATTAACAAAGAGTTTAAGTGTCTTTCTATATGTTTATTAGCCAGAAAATGGTAGTTCTTTAACTCTGTGAAGGAGGCAATGGGACATTACTCACAAAAGCTCAGAAGACACAATCAGAGGGGAGAGACAAGAGTGAGTGAAAGGGGGATACGTTTTGTAGGAAGAGTATAAATCAAAATGAAATGCAAGGGTGATCTAATGTTGAAAAGCTTTGGCATGCACCCCCTCATCCAGCAGGAAGACAGAAAATCTGGACTAGTTGTTGTGAACTGAAGGGAAACTAGATGCCCAAGATCTAAACTTTCTTTGTCCATGGCATGGGGTGAGGGTGGGGGCTATTTTCTGGCAGAAGAGAAGGTAGCAACTAGAAAAACGATGGAGGGTGGGCAAGGAGTTTTCAAAATGTTATCTATCATTCAGTCCATTTAAATCTCAAACTATCTTACATTGAATTGCAAGGGAACAAGGGGTCATCTTGATGTTTTACCCTCTTTTGTAATATCCCTGGTAATTTCATTTCTCTCTTCCTTGATAAATCCCGGAGGAGAGAGAATACTCGCAGCCACTAAAGGCTGCACTGCTGAAGAGGAACTTGTTATAAGAAGGTCTATCTCTGTGTTACCTTTACTTATTATGGAAGAAACCAGGATTTATTGAACGTGTATTATGTGCTGGTGCAGAGCCAAGCTCTTCTCATGGGTCACTTCATTCAATTCTTCTTTAGCAGATGCTCATATCCCTATTTTGTGCAACTTTCCCAAGGCCTCACTGCTCTCAGGTGCCAGATGCAGGAAGTCTAGCTCTGAGTCCCTGTTCTTAGATATATATATATATATATTTTTGCCTTGCCTTCCGTTTTTAAGAAATTTTTATTTTATTTTTAAAATTTATTTTATTATGTTAATCACCATACATTACATCATTAGTTTTTTTGTTTTTTGTTTTTACAGTACAAAGAACTTTATTTTTCCCTAAATAAACATAGAATAGGTTATCAACCTAATCCAATCATTATTGGATACTTTGGGATATGTTTTGTACAAACAAGGTCATTCACCTACATAAACTCGATCCAACTACTAAAATCAGGAGACTAACATTGTCACATCACTATACCAGTCTTCATTCCCCATTCAAGTATCCCCATGATATTTTATATGTCAAAAGGATCCTGCTCAGGGTCAGGCATTTCTTTTTTTCTTTTTCTTTAAATTTTTTTATTGTTAATCACCATACATTACATCATTCGTTTTTGATGTAGTGTTCCATGATTCATTGTTTGCGAATAACACCCAGTGCTCCATGCAGTACGTGCCCTCCTTAATACCCATCAACGGGCTAACCCATCCCCCCACTCCCCTCCCCTCTAGAACCCTCAGTTTGTTTCTCAGAGTCCATAGTCTCTCATGGTTCATCTCCCCCTCCGATTCCCCCCCTTCATTTAAGGCCTTGCCTTCCATTTTGAAATAAAAGTTTAAGTTCGTTTCCTTTACTGTCCTCTCTTCCCATTGGTTTTTGTCACGAAAACTTTGTAATCATAATTGCACTTCCCACCTGCTGAGGAGTAAATTATGTGTCAGGTACTGTATTAAGGGTGTTTAATGTGCATTTTCTGATTTAAATCTTACAGTGACCTTCTGATCGGGTACAGATAATGTCCCCATTTTACAGACAAAGAAATGGAGGGTCAGAGACTTTATTAGAGAAGCTGACATCCACTGAAGTCTCTCTTTGTTTTAACACTGTGCATGTTAAGCGCATTACTTCATTTGACTTTTCACAAAATCCTAGGAGATAGATACCATTGTCACCTCCGTTTCAGAGTCCGTGACAGTTATCTAACTTACCTGGTAAATGGTGGCCTGGTTTTAAACTGTGTCTATTCAACTGTGATGCCACTCTGACACTAGGCTGAGCTGCTTCCCTCCCCGCCACACCCCAACCAGTACCCCCCTCTGGAGCCACTTACAGAATAATTCAGAATGAATCCTACTTCTTCATTCCCATGAAAATGGTTTCAATCCATTTTGGAGCCCACATGCTTCTGTGAGTTTTTTTCTTGGCTAAATATCCCTGATTCCCTCTTCATTTCTTCATGTAATTTTGGAAGGCAAGCCTTCCATAGATGAGGGCTGGTTTAAATCCAAAGAAGATCTGGTCAAAATTATTATTCCCTAAAATTAGCATTACCCAGAGTGGCAATTCTTCATCCTCACTCCATGGCTCCCTAGAATGGAGTTCAGAGATGTGGAGTGACTTGCCCACGATTACACAGTTGGGCAGAGGGAGAGTTAGGACTCACACCTAGACCTCAAAGATTTTAAACTGTGGCCATGGGCTCCTGGGTTGTCTGTGAATGGGGTGGAGTGTGGTATGAACCCCCTGAAATTATGTATATAATTCTGTGTGTATATGTGCACACACATTTTTTTGGAGGGAATAGTCTAGGGCATTTCTTGAGATTCTCCAGGAAAGCTGCAAAGCTCCAGATGGTTTGGAACCACAATTCAAACACAAACAAACAATAAAAACTCTCATAGCTTTCTCCCCTCAACTGAAGAGAATCTGTTCAAGGAATACAAACTCTGACCCCTCCAGGTGCTTAGGAACTCAAATCATTCTGTCCAGCCTGAGGGTTGATTTCATTTCTTGCTTGGCAGGAGGAATGTGTGAAATGGTCCCAGATTGTTCCCTTAGGACCTAGTCTCTAACTGGAGAGGGACCCTGAAGCTGTCATCATGAGGCCTGGGATTAAGTCTTCCATTCATTATGCCTCTGGTCCTTCTACTGCCTCAGTAACATCTCCGATCCTTTCTTCCTGGTCTTTTCTCCTCACTGTCTCCCAGGAAGCATTGAGTGGGCTTTGAGTACTCACCATGGGGTCTGAAGTCTTAGGATTATATCCCAGCTCTGACATTTTGTGTGTGTGTCAGGGGGGTGCTTTTTGGAGGGGGTTGTTTGTTTGTTTGTTTGTTTCCAGAACCTCAGGTAAGTTACTTGTTTTATCCTTTTCTAAATCTCTGTTTCCTCAAAATGTACAGTGACGATAATAGGAGTACTTAGTTCATAGGACTGTTCAGTGAGGAAATGCATGAGACAGACGCCTAGGACCTAATTCGTGGCTAGTAAATGATAGTCATCTTGCCAGATGCCTATCTCCTCTCTTCTTTCCACATCTGCTGCTTTTCCCACTCACACACCTTCGTCTGCAGGCCACTCCGGCAGGATGACAAGAGGCCACTGCCACCAGCTTCCAGCCGCCTTGCTCTTCCTTAGAAGTACAGACACTTTCTGGTTTAAGGATTTTTTTTAACTGCTAACCATACCAGGGAAACAGCTAATGAGTAACAAAATTACAAACTTGGGAAAGTTAGAAAAGCTTTTAAAATCTCACGGTAGTAATTCTCTACTCGCGATTGGAGGAAATGTGAGATTCTGAAAACTCTTCACTGAGTCCCTTTTAAATCCTCCTCAGATTTCCCAATTATTGGTTTCGTTCCTGCTTCTGGACACCGTTTGTCTTCTGTTTCTCAACTGTTTTGTCTCTCTCACGTTGCTCAGTCTAGGGAGGCTCCTCTCTATAATAGAGGCTTGGAAACCAAGTCATGCCGGAAAAAGAGCTGTAGTTGGGTGTGTTGTGGGACAGTTTCTAGATTCGTGTTATTATTCCTTTTATAAGACAACTCCAAGTATGTATCTCCTGCTTCAGTGCCCCCTCCACTTTTAAGGCGTTTGCTGCAGACATCCTCTAAAGAAGCCCTACCCAGGCTGGCAAATCCTCACATCCACTCTAAGGCTGCCTAGAAATGGAGCTCAGAGATGTAGAGTGACTTGCCTGAGATCACACAGCTAGACAGGGGGAGAGCTGAGACTCACACCCAGGTTTCAGGGGGTTTAAACTTGTGTTTCTGAACTCCTGGGGAGCGGTGTTGTCTGTGGAAAACCAGGAAACTGAGAAGATGGGAAACTGAGACCAGTGAAAG